TGGGGAAGGTATTTGCAAATGTTAACAACATGAAGGGGTGTCTCACCCAAACAATTCCACCATTTCATGGGCCCAAGCTGCTGGTGGAGAAATGAGTAAACTTAGGGTAACGTGGATGCTTGTAATGGGTTATATATGTAAATGCCTAAAATGTTTCCAAAAATATTGGTTAGCTAATATTGCCAGTGGAATTCGGGCTCTCGATCCGAAGACTTTCAGCCAAATAGCTATATACAAATCATATCCCAAATCTATTCAAACATCACAAGGCACTAACTTCTTACAAAATGACTCTGGGAAACAGTTGCAAGCGTCCTACAAAAAGAGCAGGTGCAACCAGGCCACATATTTAAGTTCACATCATAACCTTCCTACAAAATGCCTTGTTGGATATTGACGAAGCTCTTACAGGATGAGGGGATGTAACCCCTTCAATGTTAACTCTGACTTTGATTTCCTTACAAAATGACTTCTATCTTTTGGAAAGGCTTCTTACAAAATTAGTCCTGGTTTCATTCTTACAAAATGCCCAGGTACTCGAAATTGATTTCTTACAAAATGACCCCTTCCAACCCATTTATATGGGCCTTAAGGCCACCCATTTCGTAGTGGAAATGGGAATGGGGATCCTTTGAGCGATATCACCATGCCTTTCAGCCATTCATCGCATTCCTCCGCAATGGAACAGTATCACTTTCAACAATCCTCCCAAAGTGAAAGCCCATCAACCACAAAAACCTTCAATATACAGTACCGGACTGGAAGTTAGAATGCGTGTTTGTGCAACCAGGTCCTTTCCACGGTACATGTCAAACCGGTTCAGAAGATCAGCAACCACATCGTTATATTTGCAGGCCGCTGCCAGCGCCACTGACTGCCCCCCATAGCTACTGAAAGAAAATTTGCGTACTGATTCTCCCAAGCAGAGCGCAAACCTTACACTGGGCTTCCAAAATGTTTCGGGAGAGAAAAGCACAGCCTTATATAGTTACATATACATCGTTTTGAACAAAGCACCAAAATCTGATTGTTATCAATTGTCATCATCGAGTAACTCCTTTGAGTTCTCCTTCATTCCTTTTGGCAGTTTCTGGGTGCTGGATACGGATGCGGGTTCTTTGTGATGTGTGCTCACTGTTGAGACCTCCTCCTCTTGTTCCGGTCCACTATCATCAGCAGGCTCACCAAGAGGAGGAGGCAAGGGCGGTGGATCTTGGGCATTTGCACCGGCTGGACCTGCAAAAAACAGTTAGAATGTGGTTGAGGAGCGGGTTCAAACAAGAGGTGATACATAGGCAATGTGAATTCTTAAAAATAGCATTGTTTTTGAAATGTTTGCAAACCTTTTTGGGCCATAGAGTGGCCTCGTGAGAGCAGCTCAGCGCTCAAACAGTCCATGGCTTGCTTGTTTACCGGAGCAAATGCTGGGGCGGCTCTCCTTTGTTGTCTTTCTTTCTTTCTTTTTTCGGCTCTCTCTCTCTCTCTCTCCCTCTTTTTCTCTCTTCCTCCATTTCTTAAAGCATTTTTGATGCACCAGTTCAACACCCTGATAGTGACCACCCAAAGCAGCTTAGAACCTTTGCTTCTCTTAAACTAGATTGACTTTTGGAATCTCACCAACTGACCCGGGCTCGAGCCACACTCACGTCTTCTCCGATGGCTGCTTTTTTCAAGCTGAATATGTTCATTTAGCCATAGGTCATCTTCTCATACAACCACCAATCAACACATACCAACAACCATGTTTAAATCAAACACACCATTCTAACTGATAGTTTCTATGCATATTATGCACGTTTTTGGCCGGACTGGAAGTCATTCTATCTGTTAACCCTAAAAAATGGCTAATCAACTGCAGGTGTTCTGGATTTCCAGGCATCGTTTGAGCTAGATTGGTCGGTGCGATTTTCCAAATGCTGATTCTAATTTCCAGTCCGGCGGTATATTTCATCATCAGCTGAAGCATGCTGAAGCTTATGATACCTGCAGTTGAGCGACGTGATCTCCGGGACAGGTCACGTCTCTGGCCTTTCCCACGTAAACACCATGCTTTGGCCCTTCGCCCATGGACTCGCCCAGGAGGCTCCCAGGTCACAAAGGGGCTGGGCACTAAAAATATCAGAAATGCTGCTTATGAAGACATATGAAGACCTATGACACAAGAAAACTTATTTGATTCTGGGCTGGCCGCTAACTCACGAACTTTCATCATCTTGTAGTATAAAAGCAGCGCTCTGCGCTCCTGCCCTATGGCATCACTATGGGGTCTATAGGCACGGCTGGGGGAAATTGAAACGAAGCAAATAAATAGGCACAGTAACGGTAAGGGCGGTAGATAACACCACAAGCAAGGTCAGCCATGTAGCCGCTCCGAGTAGGGTCACGGTGGACATGCTTGCTCAAGCTCTTGACGCTATGTGGGTCGTCATCTGAGAGGACGAAGCGAGAACGAGCTGTGTTAAAGTATTGTCCAGGTCTGCCGTTTACCTCACACCGCTGTAGAGTCACATCACATTCTTCAACAAGGCTTGTTCAGCAGGGGCCTTTCAAGTCCCGAAACGTGATATTTTGGTCTGGTGTCCTTCATCAACCCTGCGAGACTCGTGACATCGTCTCCCTCTCCCTCTATCTCTCTCTCTCTCTCTCCCTGCAGAGTCCTCCCGTCTCACAGCATCCTCTCGAGCACACTGACCGCTCAAGCTCTGACTCAGACTTGGCTTTTTCCAACTGCGCCCGCTACCCACTGGACAGCTTCTGGCCCGCCCAAACGTGACAAATTCAGCAGGAGAGCAGATTGATAAACCAGTTGAGGGCCAAAGATGTGCAGCTTGTACTAAGGTTCTCTCTATTGAGAGGCCTTCATCACCTCT